AAAAAGCAAGTAAAAGTTATAAACATATCTTAACCAAGAAAGTACTTACTCAAAAATCTAAACTAGAAAATCAATTCCAAAGAGTATAGGTGAAAGTTATTTGAAAAGAGAAGTGGGTATTAGTTAAATATACTATATAACCAAGAAAGCCAATTCCAAAAAGAACAAGAAAAAATGAAAAGAGCATTGTAAACATGTCTTATAACCAAAAAAGTACTCACTTAAAAATTCAAACCTGGAAGCTCAATTCAAAAAGAATAAATAAAAGTTATTTGAAAAAGAGAAGAGAGTATTAGTTAAATATATTATATAATTAAAAAAGCCAATTCCAAAAAATAAGCAAAAGCAAAAAGAGTATTATAAATATATTTTATAATCAAAAAAGTACCTATCCAAAAATTCAAACCTGGAAGTTTAATTTCAGAAAAAAAAAGCAAAAATTATCTAAAAATGAGAAGTGGGTATTAGTTAAACATGCCATACAACCAAGAAAGCCAATTCTAAAGAAAACAAGCAAAAGTAAAAAGAGTATTGTAAGTATATCTCACAACCAGAAAGTATCTACCCAAAAATCTAACCCCAGAAGCTTAATTCTAAAGAGAACAAGTGAAAATTATCTGAAAAAGAGAAGAGAGTGTTAGTTAAACACACCATATAACCAAGAAAGCCAATTTCAAAAAACAAGTGAAAGTAAAAAGAGCATTGTAAATATATCTCACAACCAAAAAAGTACTTACTCAAAAAACCAAAACCTGAAGCTCAATTCCAGAGAGAACAAGCAAAAGTTATCTGAAAAAGAGAAGTAGGTGTTAGTTAAACATGCCATACTGTACAACCAAGAAAGCCAATTCCAAAAAGAATAAATAAAAGCAAAAAAGCATTGTAAACATATCTCACAACCAAGAAAGTACCTATTCAAACCTGGAAGCTTAATTCTAAAGAGAACAAGTGAAAGTTACCTGAAAACAAAAAGAGGGCATTAGTTAAACATATCATACAACCAAGAAAGCCAATTTCAAAAAACAAACAAAAGCAAAAAGAGCATTGTAAACATATCTCACAACCAAAAAAGTACCCACCTAAGAATCCAAACCCAGAAGCTCAATTCTAAAGAAAACAAGTAAAAATTATCTAAAAAAGAGAAGAGGGTGGGTGTTGTTAAACTCACCATACAACCAAGAAAGCTAATTCCAAAAAACAAGTGAAAGCAAAAAGAGCATTGTAAACATATCTCACAATCAAGAAAGTATCTACCCAAAAATCTAAAATTTGAAGCTCAATTCCAGAAAAAACAAGCAAAAGTTATCTAAAAAAAAGAAGTGGGCATTAGTTAAACATGCCATACAACCAAGAAAGCCAATTCCAAAGAAAACAAGCAAAAGTGAAAAGAGTGTTGTAAACATATTTCACAACCAAGAAAGTACCCACTCAAAAATCCAAACCCGGAAGCTTAATTCCAAAAAGAACAAGCAAAAGTTACCTGAAAAAGAGAAGGGTGTATTAGTTAAACACACTATACAACTAAGAAAGCCAATTTCAAAAAACAAGCGAAAGCGAAAAGAGTGTTGTAAACATATCTCACAACCAAGAAAGTACTCACCTAAAAATCCAAACTGAAAACTCAATTTCAAAGAGAACAAATAAAAGTTATCTAAAAAAGAGAAGTGGGCGTTAGTTAAACATGTCATACAACATTCCAAAAAGAACAAATGAAAGTAAAAAGAGCATTGTAAATACATCTCACAACCAAGAAAATATCCACCCAAAAGTCCAAAACTGGAACTCAATTCCAAAGAGAACAAGTGAAAGTTACCTGAAAGAGAAGTGGGTGTTAGTTAAACACACTTCACAACCAAAAAAGCAAATTTCAAAAAGAACAAGCAAAAGCAAAAAGATATTTAAACATACCAGAAACCTAATTCCAAAGAGAACAAGTGAAAAAAAAGAATATTGGTTAAAAATATAAAAAGTTTATCTCATCACTAAACAAACACAAAGATCATCCGGATTAGGTTGGAAAGTCGGAATATACGTGACCCGGAAAATCTCACCTACATCCTGGAACTGTCAAAAATTAGCCAATATGAATGAAAGCCCGCTATGCTATGTCAGCCAATAAGATACAGGCAAGTGTGTGTATAATTTTTCATATCAGGTTATTTAGTCATTTCAAATATAAATGACCAAATAACCAATGACCAATTCATTTGGTTATTTGGTCATTGTTCCAACACTGCCCTGGGTATTTTACAAAAAAGCCGGCCTAGATTGAATAATACCCCCAAGTACTGAAGTATTGGGAGATGAGAGGATAATACGGTAATACAAATAATAATCGTTACTGATCAACACAGGTCGAATCGGGCTCCAACCTAGTAAGTTAGTGATGTCCAAAAAATTTTACCTTTCGTGTAATCTGTGTTTTTTGGACTAGGGGATAATGCTGGTCATCTATATGATAGCAAAATTCCAATCCGAGCAATTTTACTTATATGTTAGCTAGTGGTTTATCGTTATTGGTAAAATTTGGTGATTTTGGCCAAATTTAGTTAATTCCGGAAGCTCGCGTTACACGAAAAGGCAAAATTTTTTGGACATACTAGCTCAAACAACCGGCATTACGTAATCCCGTGATTTGAAACAGATATTTGGCGAAAATAGGAGACCTTTAGAATACAAATCGGGTTCATATAGCGTTCAATACATATCGGGATGCCGATAGTTCAATTGGTAAATCGATAAAGTTATAAGGCTAGCTTTATCGATTTACCAATTGAGCTTGAACCCGATTTGTATCCTAAAGGTAAGGTCTCCTATTTCCATCAAACATCTGTTTCAAATCAGGTTCATATCGGGATTACATAATGCCAGTTGGAGCCTGATTTGCCTTCATTCTACCTGTGCAATATGAAATTGGGGCACAAAATCGCTTGTCAAAAAAAGGGGAGATACTATTGCAGGGGGTACTATATCAGATATGCAGCGCTATGGTACGTAAATGTCTGATACGAAAATATAAGCTCAAAGTATATATGGTTTTAATCGTTTATAGATTTAACAATTCTTTATATATTAAATAGATTCGGAATTAACTATATGTAGTTCAAAGTTTTTTAACCACTTGGTTTGACTTAAAATTTCATTCAACTTAAGTATACAGTATTTAAAATCCACTTAAGTGGACCCTAAATTAGGAAGATTCTATTCTGACGTATAATGTATAACATGATATAGATATTATATACTGTAATACTGTAGCTAAAACGAACATTCTATTTTATCAAGTTTGACTCCCGATTTATGTTCCTTACACGTGATTAAAAAAAAATTACACTAAAAAATTACGATTACTATCAACTGTTAATAAACATAATAGAATTCAATATTTGATAGATTATTAACCTTTATCGTAGTCTTAACCCAATTAATGAATGAAGACCAATATACTGTAGTGTTGAATCCTGTTTTCAATTGTTTTTATAAGATGAATTTATCTTGATCTAAATCTAAAACCAACCTTCTGGAACCGAACCGAACGTTAAAAATCTTATTAATTATTTAGTGTCGCGACTGAAGCTAAAAATTAGGGATCTCGATTGAAAATATAAATCCTACTAAAATCTAATTATATTCTTTTATTATCAAAACTTACACCCGAAATTTTCATATTAATATTAAAATTTCCAGCTTTAACAAAACATTTAATATAATAAATAAATAAATAAAATAAATTGAAATATTGATAAAAATGATTTAACAACTAAACTAAATTAAATGCATTGTTTAAATTCAATTCCTCCATCTATTTCTAAATACATTTCGTCAGTGTCGATACATTCATGAATAATATCATCAATAATAACTTTCTTGAAATTTCTAATAGTGTATTTGTTAATTTCTTTTTCAACTGGCACATTTAAAAATCTTACATTATTATTTTTTCTTTCGATTTCAATTTCATCTTCTGTTTCTAAATATAGTTCTTTGATATTTTTTTGAGTAATACCCTTAATGTTAACTCTTTTAATATTTTTAATATTTTTAATAGTGTATTTTTTAATTTCAACATCAAAAATCGACATATTTGATACACTCGAAGATTCCACATTCTCTAACCTGCTCGGTGATTCCATATTAGTTGACAAGTTAGGCGATCCAGTATGATTAGTTGATACATCCAAAGTTTCCTGATCGTTCACTGATAGGCGAGATTTCTTACTAGACTTCATCATTTGATATTGACTTTCAATCTCTTTCCATTTTTCATTATGATGTTTTTCAAAATGTTTTTTAAGATTAGTAACACTCGTACGAGAGACATAAGAGGCTGGGGATTCTTCACTAGATTTTTCACATTCTTTACAGTAAATTTTATTTGGATTTGATCGAATTGAATAAAAAAAATCCCAAACCGGATGGTCTTTTTTTTTTAGGTTCTTGATTTTTATCAGATTTTCTTTTATTTTGATTCATTTTTTTTTAAAAAAATAAAATTTTAAACAAAATCAGCCAATTTATAAAAATAAAAACTCCGACAACTCCGAATTGTTAAAACTTATATGGAATTTATATTCCGATATCTGTCTATCAGAAATTCTTTTGGCGTGCATACGAACGATTTAAGCGCAGCGCTCAAAAATTACAATTTATTATTTGACAAAGTCTGTTTGTAAAATTCTACATCCACAAAAAAACTATCGATTTCCAATTTCTGATTTGATTTTATAATATATATTTTTTAAACTCTAGACTAGACTTTGATATTACATAAATATTAAAAGTACTTATTCGCCTTTTATTAAATATCAAAATAATTTAAAAATATGTATAAAACAGAAATCAGAATTAGAAATTGGAAATTAGAAATTAGAAATTGTGATCAGAAATCGGAGATA